CCATTGAGTCTGTTAAGACTCATAGCGACCCTTTACAGAGTTTCTAAGGCTATAGACCCTTACAGAAGCAAATATTCTCATCTTTCTCCCACAGAGTCACTGGTGGGTTTGAACCGCCGACCTTGCAGTTAGTAGTCCAATGCCTAACCCACAGCAGCACCAGGGCTCCTTAAAGCAGCCATAAACAATATGTAAACAAATAAGTGTGTTTGTATCCTGATAAAACTTTATTTATGGGGAGCAACAGCGACACAAGATGGCAGCCACCCCAGGCTCAGACAATTTACAAAAAGCAGATAATCAGCCTTCAAATAGAATGTGGACCTAAATACCCAGAATTATTGTAACAATAATTAGTATGAAAGGAGTGAATGGTTCTAATGGAGTGGTGGACCCCAGAGCCAGATCAGTGATAGCAAAATGACAGCATTCACAAAGCCTCAAAGTTGTCCTGCAAGAGCTTCTGCGGTGCCTAATGTTATCTAAAGAAAATATGAAAAGTCCCTCAACCGCCTGAAGGACAGTGTTACAGCAATTAATCAAAAAGAAAAACCGTTTATTCGATTTAAGCAGTCTTAATTTTCCACCACAGTAAAGTTTCTAGATATGTCTTGTAGACTTCAAAATACTGGAAAGGAAACTCCCATTCAAAGGTAAGTTATCTTAAGATACTGTAAATGATACTAATTTTTTGGTCCATTTGAAATATATTAGTTGTGCTAGTTGGTTTGAACTGCAAAGTCAGTGTTGTCCAAGCTCACCAGCTGCTCCTTGGTAACCCTATACAGTGTAGTTATGACTCAGAACCAACTCAACGGCACTAAATAACAACAACAATAAGAAATCATCCTGTCCAGTATAACCACTGTCCACGTAGTTGAACATCTGGGATCAAGAAAGTATATTTAATTTGATCCCCATCGTAACTGGTGGAATACATCTAAACTCAACTGTGAAAAGCTACATCACACAATCACACAATTATGTGGCCTGGAGTCTCTGCTTTCTCCCCTTGTTCCACCGCCTGCCCTCAGCCCTCTCTCCCTGTAACATCTCTCCAGCTTGGTGTGGTTTCTGAGGACAGGTGTGAAGGTTTGGGGTTTCAGCCTAGGAAACTACTGCTGGGTGTGTGGGGTGCTTAAGTCTTAAATGATGCCCCCCATTCCAAGCCATCCCTCCCCCCTCTCCTCTCCTCCCACCTTGGCTGAAGCATAAATTGTAACCCTTTCTATTCCCTTCTGATGTTAGTCTTTGGTGAGGAAGTCAGGGCTTTCTCCACTGTCTTCTTTCCCCACACCCATCAAGGGATGTTGTTCTTCTTCCTCCCAAAGCCCCTCCCTGCACCCCACCACCCCACACTTGTAAGCACACAAGACACCTCTCAATGTTTTCTTTTCTTGTCATTGCTTTGCTTTTAAAAATGAAAGAAGTTTTAAACAGCGCTCTGATTTGATCATCCTGGCAATTTGTTTGGGTCTAGTTTGGAACCTGACAACAGGAACAAAAAGAACCTTGAATTCGGTGAGTACTTTGGTTTCGGTGCTGAGATTCCCACAGTCCTCAGCAGGGAGTCAGGAAGAACTTGGTGTGCACGGCAGATCCCCGAAATTGGTGGGCTTGACCTCCTGAAAATAGCTGCATTTTTCCACTTTTCTGTTCCGGACCACTAAGTGCTGACACATGGATGCATACCGAAAGTAAAGGCAATTCACTGTGTTCTAAAACCAAAAAACCAAAAACTTTATTTATGGACACTGGTGTTTGAATTTATTATTCTTGTTGTTGTTAAGTGCCATCAAGTTGTTCTGACTCATAGCGACCCTGTATAGTAATGACTACTGAGTTTGAACCAACGACCTTGCATTAGAGTGCTTATCCTATAGCACCACACCAGGACTCTTTATGTGCCACAAAATATTCTATTTTAGATCTTTTTTTTCCAGCCATTAAGAAATCTAAGACCATTTTTTCGCTTGTAGGCTGTATAAAAACATATGGATCAGATTGAACCCAGTGGCTGTGATTGTGAACCCCTGGTATAGAGGACTGGACTTAATGCTGAGTGCCTACTGTAAGCTGTTGTTATTGTTGTTAAACGCCTTCATGTTGGTGCCAAGGAGCAGCTGGTGGGTTTGAACTGCTGGTCTTGTGGTTTGTAATCCAGTACTGATCCTACAGCACCACGCCAGGAGTCCAGTGAGACAATGGGGACAAATTATGGTTGAATATTAGTTACACTTCATTCTCAGTGTTCTTTTGTCAATTGAATGACTTGTTTGAGGTTTCTTCCAGCTCTGAAATTCTATGCATTTTATTTTATTTTTAGGTAAGAAGAGACACCACTATTGAGGAACTCGATGCATTGTAAATGACAATTGCAGCCTATGTCAGGACATCTACAACTAACCAAAGTTAAAGACGCATTATCTCTGGTTTTCAAAGGTGATAGCAATGATTGTCATGGTGACCCTGTCTGGATAAAGGAGGCTGAAAGATTGACACATATTCTACTTTTAATCCACATGGAAAAACCACCCTGAACTGATCAGAGGGGCTGATTTTACAGGGTCTTGCCTGTTGGAATAAGAGGCCTTGGTTGCCAAGTAGCTGCTAACCATTCAAATCCACCAGTTGCTCCTCAGGAGAAAAAGGTTGTCTGTTCCTATAAAAGATTTGCAGTCTTGGAAACCCTATGGGAATATTCTGTTCTGTCCTGTAGAGTTGATATGAGTTGGAATTGACTTGCAGGCAGTGAGTGTCTTTAAGGTGAAGCTGCCCAGCTGTGCTTAGCTCTTGCCAGGTGATCAGTTTGTCTCTGTGGCTCATGCACTCAGAGCTGCTAGTTCCCTTCGACAATAAGAATTGCAGACTTGTGGTTGATCGCACTTTCCTTCCATGAGTGACAATAATTCTACCCTTAACTGAAAACAGGAAGTTAGAGCAAATTTCCCAACCATCCCTGGATGACCCTGAAGGTTGACTTCAGCAGTGGTATACAGTCAGGCAAGTGGCAATAAACAGATCACAGGAAAAAAAAAAAAAATGAAGCTGAAGATGTTTGGGTTTGTCATAGGACTTTTGACCACATATGTAACTCTTTTGTTCCTATATACCAACTATATGGTTCCACACAAATACCTACATGTGGGGAAAATCTCAAACACTTCAGTCCTTGCAAAAGTCTGTGATAAGCTTGTGGCAGGAAAGACAATGTTCCCGGACAAAACTATACCAATGGCATCACTTGGAGACATAACTTGTCAACAATACTTGGTACAAAACCACTATATAACAGAGCCTCTGTCCAAAGAAGAAGCTGAGTTTCCACTGGCATATGTCATGGTCATCCATAAACACTTTGATACATTTGAAAGGCTCTTCAGGGCAATTTACATGCCCCAAAATGTCTACTGTGTTCATGTGGATGAGAAGGCCACAGCTGCTTTTAAAGAGGCAGTGTTAAAACTTCAGAGCTGCTTCTCAAATGTTCTTTTGGCATCTAAGAGGGAGTCTGTGGTCTATGCAGGAATCTTCAGGCTCCAGGCTGACCTGAACTGCATGAGAGACCTGGCCAGCTCTCAGGTTCCCTGGAAGTACGTGATCAACACCTGTGGACAAGATTTCCCCCTGAAAACCAATAAGGAGATAGTTCAGTATCTGAAAGGTTTTAAAGGGAAAAATATTACCCCGGGGGTGCTGCCTCCTCCTCACATTATCATAAGGACCAAATACATGCACTTGGAGCAGAGGTACCCTTTGTTTTCCTTCATGCTGTGGACTCCAATGAGAAAAATGCCTCCTCCCTACAATCTGACCATTTACTTCGGCACTGCCTATGTTGCCCTTACGAGGGAATTTGTTAACTTTGTTCTACAAGACCAGAGGGCCATTGATTTACTGGAGTGGTCGAAGGATACCTATTCTCCTGATGAACATTTCTGGGTGACGCTCAATAGGATTCCAGGTATGTAGAACTTGATTTACATTCTACAGTGTGCCCATAAAGCCATAAAATCTAGAAACATTTTATATATATTTCATAATGTGTATTTCATTATATATATCTCATTTTATATATCTCTCTATATCTATATCTATATATATCCATATATATGTATGTATGTATTCTAATACTACCTGCTATCCAGTTGACTCCACCTATTAATGACCCTCTGTGTGTCAGAGTAGAACTCAATAGGATTTTCAGAGCTGAATATTGGAAGTAGTTTGCTAGGCCTTTCTTCTGTGATGGACTCAAACCTCTAAACATTTTAGTTAGTAGCTGAACACACTAACTCTATTGTCTCATCCAGGGACTCGCTATAGACACACACACATACATACAAACACACACACACATACATACAAACACACACACACATATAGATACATGGTAACATAGTGGTTACGAATCAGGCTGTGAACCACAAGGTCAGCAGTTCAAAACTACCAGCTGTTCTACAGGAGAAAGATGAGGCCTTCTGCTCCCGTAAAGATTTACAGCCTCGGAAACCCTGTACAGGGTCGCTATGAGTCAGAACCGACTCCATGGCACATAACAACAACAACAACATACACACAATATATACATACATACACACACACACACACACACACACACACATATATATATATGTTGTTGTCAAGTGCCTCTGAGTCGATTTTGACCCTTAGCAACCCTGTATAGGTTTTCCAAGGAGCAGCTTGTATATATATATATATATATGAGTCCTGGTGTGGTGCTGTGGGCTAATGTGTCAGACTGCAAAAGCCGTTTGAACTACAAGGTCAGTGGTTCAAGCTCACCAGCTGCACCTTGAAAACCTTATACAGGATCTCTATGGGTTGGAATCGATTCAGTGACACTTGACAACAACAAAATTATATATATATATATATAAAATGTTGTTAAGTGATGCCAAGTCTGTTCTGACTCATAATGACCCTGTATATGTTTTCCGAGGAGTGACTGGTGGATTTGAACTGCCGACTTTGTAGTTCAAACTGACCTTGCAGTCCAATGCATTATCCTGCAGCACCATACCAGGACTTCATATATATATATAGGCTCCTGGTGTGGCACTGTAGGATAAGCACTAGACTGCAAACCACAATATCAGTGGTTCAAACCCACCAGCTGCTCCTCGGAAACCCTGTACAGAGTCGCTATGAGTCTGGACTGACTCGATGGCACTTAAAACAGCAACAAATATATATGTGTGTGTATATACACATATATATGTACATACACATTTATACGTACACACACACACATATATATGCATACATATGTGTGTGGGGGCACAGTGATTCCATACAAGGTCTGCAGTTCAAGCCTGCCAGATGCTCCCTGGGAGAAAGAGGAGTCTTTCTGCTCCTGTGAAGATTTAAAGCTTCAGAAACCCTATGCAGGGTTGCTATGAGCCAGAACTGACTCAATGGTACTTAACAACAACAATCTGTATGTATTTTATAGATTGAAGATTTTCATAACAGCATTATGTATATTTACCTGTGTCTCGACTTTATGTACGCCCTGTAGAATTTCTTTTGTGCCTGTATCAATGAAACTCATGCAAAATAAGTTATACTTTTTACATATCACTAAATGTACCGTTTGGTTGTAGAACAAACTTCGACTGGCATGGTATGTCATAAATCTTTCTTATGACACATGTGACTGTTTCAAAAGCAACTATAGCTGGATAGAAACTCAGCATCTTCAACACGGGTTATTCATTACAGTCTCATTCTGTGTGGATTTATTTGAACTGTTGGAGTTTCAAAATTATGAGATCAGAAAATACCAATATAAAATATAAGAATAATTAGAAATGATGTTGTTATTGTTAAGTACCATGGAGTGGGTTCCGACTCATAGTGACCCTACACGGGGTTTCTGAGGCTGTAAATCTTTATGGGAGCAGAAAGCCTCATCTGTCTCCCGCGGAACAGCTGGTAGTTTCGAACTGCTGACTTTGATGTTAGCAGCCTGATTCATAAACACTACGCTACCAGAAAGCGCCCTAAATTTATTTTTAAAGAAACAAACAAAAAAAAACATCAAGAATTTCAAGAATTCAAAACTGTCTGACCAGATGAACCGTATTCTTTAGGTCAGGCCCACAAGACAGCATCATTTGAATTGGTGAATATAAACCCTGCCAGCTCTGGTAGCATTGTTGTTGTTCTGTGCTGTGGAGTCGGTTCCAACTCATAGCGACCCTGTGCAGGCTTTCCAAGGCTGTAAATCTTTACGGGAGCAGAAAGCCTCAGCTGTCTCCCTCGGAACAGCTGGTAGTTTCGAACTGCTGAACTTGCGGGGCGCAGCCAGATTTGTAACTACTACACAACCAGAGCTCCTTTGGTTACGAATCGGGCTGCTAGCCTCGGAAACCCTGCACAAGGTTGCTATGAGTCAGAACCGACTCCACAGCACATAACAACAGCAATAACCTCCTTGCCTACCCACGAGGACCAGGCTTGAATTACTCTACAGGAATTCCCTGTTCATATAAACATGTAAAACTCTGTACTGGTAACTGATGGGCAGAAAATTTTTTTGAAACTATGATAAAATACAGTCTTTTATAGAAAACTTAGGAAATACAGAAAACCATGCAAAAGAAAGAAGGTATTCTCCATCATACAAACTGACATGCACTTCCTGTAAACATGCTGACATTATTAACCCTCCTTCGCTGTGTAGTTAGATCGTAGTAATGATGTCATTTTGTATCCTGCAGCTTTCATGTACCAGCATAGCCTATCATTTCCCTCTGTTATTGGAAATAGGAAATCACTGCATTCTTTTTCATAGATTTACCACAATATGCTTAACAAGCCCTCAATTGTTGAACATTCGTTTCCAATTTTTTTTGCTGTGATAATCATTGCTGAATAACAAGTGAAAACCTTAGAGAATCAAAGGTGGGATTACTTTAAGAACTTGGTGTCTATTGCAAAACTGCTTCCTAAAGCATGTTCTAATTTTCAATTAGTCTACCAGTGTATAAAGGAGCTCTGGTAGCGTAGTGGTTACGAATAGGGTTGTGAACCTCAGGGTCAGCAGTTCGAAACTACCAGCTGTTCCGCGGCAGAAAGATGAGGCTGGTCTGCTCCCATATAGATTTACAGCCTTAGAACAAACAAGCTGGCAGATCGGGTGGAAGTGCAGTAAGGAGCTCTGTCAGCAACAACACAGAATACAGGACCAAGCAGGCTCAGGGGATGGTCCCAGAACTCTGAACCACATATAAAGAATTATTTAGAAGGTTGGAAGGCTTACAGCTAAGGATATTTGTAGCAG